CTTCTTCATTGTTATGCTAAATATGTATGTATGTATGTATACACACACACACACACACACACACAGATATATATATATGCGCCTTCATGTCAGTGTTGACTCCTGGTGATTACCTGGGCTAGTCTTTGCAAGATTTTCAGAAGTGGTCTGCCATTGCCTTCTTCCTAGGGCTGAGAGAGAATGACTGGCCCACAATCACCCAGTTGGTTTCATGCTTAAGGCAGGACTAGAACTCATGGTTCCCTAGTTTCTAGTCTGGTGCCTTTATCACTAGATAAGGATATGGGAACAAAAGCAATAGGTATTCACCACTGTCATTAAATACTATTTTCTTTTCTTCCTTCTCTTTTTGAACACTCGTTAGGACTACTGTCTTTGCTTTAGAAGCATAGCCTGCATTTAAATTTTACAGCCACATCACATGGAATATGAATATGGAAACAGACTTGGTCTGCACTAGATGCCATTAGCTCTGAATTAGAAATAGCAAATTATGAGGCATTTCTTTGTTAATTCAGACTTAGGTAACCTGATTTGCCAATGCAAAAATGTATACACAGGAACTCACCTCTTTTAATGTAAAAGTTTCACCTTTAGCACCTGCTGCATGCAGAACTTTCAGGAGTGGCAGTTTTGGTCGTACCTAAGATACACCATATGGAATTTTTTTAGTCATGCTGTATAACACTGGAAAAATCAATGTAAAAGACTAATTCCCACAGGTTACAAATTTAAAGTTTTACATACCCCAACTCCAAATATGTTTCATTATATTAAGCTAGCAGAGGAAAATAAATACAAGTATTTCACACAACCTCAGAAAAGCAATGCTAACTTTCCCCAATGAAATTAATTAAATAATAAACCCAAGGAGAGGATTCAATTCAGTGAGAATGTTTTTTATATGTTAAAAAACACAGATGCAATGCGTATGGTCAAATCCAAATTTTCATTATGCATTCATTTCCCTCCCTCTCATTACAATACTTATAAATCCTAATTAAAGCCACAAAAGTCAATGCCAAATGATATTTTAAGAGCTCTGCCAATTCCACACAGTATATTAGAGGCAACGTCATGAAACAGGGGACATACTATCTGAAAATGAGTTCTGAAAAATATTGGCAAGGAGTAGATCTTTCTAAATCAGGTAACCGTTAACCTTCTAAATATGTTGGAAGCAACCATTTATCAGGTTAGCATTATTTATACTAAGATAAAATATCACAGTACTTTTAGATTAATAATGCATCTATGCTAGACAAGAAATTACATGTAGGAATACTTTACTTTAATAGGCAAGAATTTATAGTAAGTGGCTCTTTCCCTCTCCTTATTTCAATGCATATGTATAGCATTTGGAGAGCAAGATTCTCCACCTTTACACTGGCATTCTACTGAGGGAACACTACTACTACTTTGCATTTTGCAATTATTTGCTATAAAGAGGGAAATTCAGTTCAGTTTGACAAAGACTACAGATACTCTGAAAAAGCCAAACTGGAAATGAAGATGGTAGTACATTTTCAACTTGTGAAGAAAATAAGCAAGCAAACAAAGTCACAGTTCTCTCTGGCAGTGAACTGAATAAAAAACATCCTTAACCAAGTTGCCTGATCTGGATTTTCTTTCCAGTTCTAAATTATTATATAAGAGCATTCAAAATCTTTGTTGAAACCAATTTTCACTTGCAACTAGAGGAACTCTAAGCTCTACCACTTGTTTACATCTAAATCATACTACAAAATCCATGTCTTTGTGAGCTAATAGGATGCTAAAGCAACTTCATAAGTTCCAAAAGGCTTTATTCCTATTAGGAACTTCAAATCTGACAGGCATGTAAATAAATTACATCAAGAATAAAATTGTTATTTACATCCTCCAAAACATATTCTAATCATTTGAATCCAGTCCTAAAATTCCAATGATAAAATCTTCAAGAAATGATATTCTGAAGATAGAAGGCAGGAAGAGAAGCGTTTCCGTTAATGCTGAATGTCTGTCAAATCCGAAATTATGTCACTCAGGTCATATCCATCAATTTATATAATTTGGATAATGCAAATAATGTAAATGGACACACATGATAAAAATTGTATCAATTAACAGGCCTGCTTCTGAAACAACAGACTTTATCTGCTGTTTGGTTATGAAATCTAAGCAAAATTTGGCCCATTATATCCAGAAGTCCACTGAATAGAGGTCTGGACAATCAAGGAACTACTGTTTTTAATTTTTAGGAAAAGGTGGCAAATATATGTGTGGCCCAGTATGGTTTACCACTATTGTATGCAGAATATTCTATTTCTTCATTTACCCTATTGTAATATTTATATTCCTCTTTTTTTCCTCTAAGTTAAGTTTTCCTTCCCAATGTGGCTCCATGTACTTTTTCTCAAGCCCACCCACTTTGCTTGCAGATACTGACACCCCACACAATACTGAATGCAACCAGTACTGAATGAAGCCCTTAGGTCAAAAAGGTAGCCCTCCCTGCCTTAAATAATATGGCAATGGAAGCTCCATAGTCAAATTTAACTGGCTGCTACTCCTTTCCACGCAGGCCTCCATGCAAAGCTCTGACTATCCTGCCAGATGCTCATTGTGCTGAAGAATTTATTTCACTTATATCCTACCTTTATTTGTACAAGTCAAGGCAATGTATATAATGTTCCCTCCTATTTTCCCCACAACAACCCTGTGAGATAGGTTAGGCTGAGAGAGCACAACTGGCCCAAAATCACCCAGCAATTAGGACACAGTAGAAGGGAGGACAGGAAGGAAGAGCTGTAATTATTATCCCAATGTGGCTGCAAAGGAGTGCACCAAATACAACTTTCAGTATGCCAGTGTTTCTCAAGCTGTATCACTTTAAGTACACTCTAAAAAGCTGATCTAAAGCAAGGAAACACCTCCCCCCCCCACACCCATTGGTATAGGTATGTGACTGCCTCCAATTGAAACCCAGTTTTCAAGAATTATATACAAGCAAGCATACCCTTCACACTAAAAATACAATTATTCATATAAAGTTTTTATAAAGTTTCAATTATTGTTTTACTTGATATATATAGAATAACGTTAAATGATTAAGAATAACATTTATTTCTTGCTCAACCCTAAACCTTAATGAATTATTAGTTTAATTTAGGCCAGGGGAATCACACAAATTCATTTTACTGTTTTAGGGAATTAAATTATTGCAAAGTTTGAAAAGCGTCCCTTAATGAAGAATAGCATATTTATTATGGAACCATCTTACAGAGACTAGAGTCCACTTCCATCAGACTGAAACAGTTAAATTACATTTCATCACGTCCTTCAATAATCTGTGGTCTGAATCAATGTTACACAATTTTACCCAATTCCAGGGCATTTATGCTACCAATGAGAAGAAGCTATTTTACATACTTTTCATATAATTGTTGTGATCTGCATTTTATAATTTTGCTTTTTTAGGTCTCACTGTTCTCTGTATCCACATATGCTAATATAGGATATTTGTGGATTTGATTAAATGGATTCTATTCCATGACAATTAATGCTGTATTAGATAAATTAATTAGTCCCTGAATTACGAAAGACTGAGGTATTTGCAAGTTAACAAATCTATGGATAACTGTTAGAAAAGATAATGTTCCACATAGATGAAACCTCTTCTATCAGTATTAAAGTGAAAAATCAAATTATATTACCTGTTTGACTGGTTCAAGTGATGTTCTGCAGGCAGTCTCAGATGGTGGAAATTGTGCAGAGGTAGAAGATGTCATTTTGGCAGTATAGTAGCTGTCAATATTAGAAACCTAAAATAAAAATCAGATTTATTTATTTAATACATTTATACCCCACTTCTCCAGCAGCGCATACACAGAATTTCTTCCCCCAATATTTCCCCACACTTTGGGAGATAGATGGGTTAAGAGAGTCAGTCACTGGCCCAAAGTCATCCAGTGAACTACCACAGCTGAGGCTAGACTTGAACCTCTATCCAGTGCTATCCTAACTCACATAAGATTAAACATTTTCTGATGCCTTTGGGGCCAATTTGATATACATCACCTAAGGACAACACCTGAATTGCATTTAACATGTCTACCATACCGATCATATTATCTTTTAATTTTGGTAAGGAATATAAAAACACCCCAAGCCTGAAAGAAAACCCTGCAATGCCTACTTTATTAAGTCTGTCAGTGAGGCTTTCAAGGTACCTTATTCAAAGTGTCCATGCAATTCTTGTTCTTCAAACTGCTTAAGACAAATGAGAACAAACTGTTCTTTGACATGTTGAGACAAGTAGCTTGTTAATGTGACTCACAGGATGTGAATACTGCTGAGTCACTCAACCACTACTGGAAATTTTCACTTCCAAGATTTAGTCAGCAAGCCATGATGGGATAAATATCTGCCCAAACTAATTAAAACTGATGGCAAATACATTTTATGCCACCATAATTTTTGTATCTTTAAGATACCATAATAAATATATAGTTTTCAAGTCAAAAAGACCAATTTAATTTTCAATTTGCTCAAGCAAAGAAAAAGGTAACATCTCTAAAGTTCCAACTTCTGTTTTAGGATTACTGTAGTATCAAATTCAGTGTCACCAAACACATTTTAAATGGTGGCAAAATTTTATGTATTATGTTTATATGCCATTCTATAACATTATGTCTTCTGGATAACTGACTGCAAAGAACATTTAAGATCATAAAATCAAAATATGCATAAAAGAATAAAATTCAAAGCAGCTTCAACATTAAAAAAATAAATAAAACAGGGAAGACCAGGCTACATGAGTTCAGAACTCTCAGTTTTAAAATGCTTAAGTGAGCAGTAAGGTGTTCCCCTGAGAACAAAAAGATCATAGCAGCAACGCCATTTTGGGAAGGTTATTATAAAGAACACTGTCTCCTTTGTAGCTATACTATCATTTCATTCAGTATAAGTATCATTATACTCCCTTGGAAGATCTTAGGTTTAAATAGATTCATACCAGAGAAGATACTCTTTCTAGTAATGTGATCCCTAGCTCTTTAGTATTTTAACAATTAAAATTTATTTTAAACTGTGCCTAGAAATGGGCTACAATCTAGTGCGGCTGATAAAATATTAATATGCTCAAACTGCCCAGTCAAAATTGCTAATTTAGTCATTTTATTTTGGACCAGCCATAGTTTCCCAACCTCATCAAAGCTGATAAAGGCATTCTGAGATATAAAAAACTCATTTGATTCTCTAATAACATTGCTGAATCAGTAAGCACCCTACGAGAGGGGAGAAAAAAAATCTCTAGCCAGAATGTGACCAGTCATCTAGAAAAAGGCTGAATGAACAATCTTGGATAATTCCCCATTATGTCTAAATTGGGTTTCTTACTTGCCTTATATTAATCAACACATATTGTTCAGTGTTGATTAAACACTATCACAGTGTGATCCATATCTTATGATAATGAGAGACAAATCTGCATACCAGTATGACAACTGTAATATTGGTGACATCATGGGCCAAATCTATATATGATTTCTCCCACATGGATGTTAGGCAGTATAAGTAAAAGGACAGAAGTCCACATAATCCTAAAGCATGACTGCTAGGAGTGCGAACCCCAATACCTCCTTCTGGAAACAGCCACCCAAGCAGGAGCAGAACCAGCATTAAGCAGTATATCATGCACTCAACTCGGACAACTTTTGTACATATATTATTAATACCACGGCTGAAAATATGCAATGAATTGTTAACTTTAAACTAGATAGTAACAATGCATAAAATGACAGATAGCAAGTATGGAAATGACTATGGCACATTTCCTTCCTACCATAAAAGCAAAGTTATAATTCTAAGAATCAACAGAACAGAAATGAAAATGTGCATTGTATTAAAAATAGCCATAGTGAGACACTATTTAAAAACGCATAACCCATGGAATTAATTTAATGTTTGTTTTCTGTTGGGGAAAGTTGTTGAATAAACCATATTACTTGAGTTCACACAACTAAACCATCTACAGACAGTCCCCTACTTGCAAACTTTTGTATTGTGAACTTTCACCAATATGAACAAGATGGACCCAGAAATCAGAACCGGAAGTTGGGTCGGAAGGTGGAACCGGAAGATGGGAGAAGGAGGCACAAACTAACCCTTTCCCATCTTCTGTTTGCATTGGAGTTAGAATTTCCAGAAAGGGTTAGTTTATGTGGGGCGCTCCATTGCTGGGTGAGGCGGGAGAGGGGGCAGTGGCAGAGAACGGGGGAAGGGGGCAGAGGTCTCCTGCCTTGCCTGGCAACAGAATGTGCCATGCCCCATCGACTCATCCTTCGCCCAAGGAGCCACCACCGCCTCTCCTGCCTCACCCTGCAATGGAGTGCGCTGCGTAAACTAACTCTTTCTGGGAACTCCAACTCCAGTGCAAACCTCTAACCTCCTGGAAGGCGGGAGAAGGCAGGAAAGGGTTAATTTGCAGCATGCCTCCACCCCCTCTCCCCCACTATCACCCCCTCTCCTGTCTCACTGGCAATGCATTGGTAGCAGAAGATAGGGCTCTTCTGCCCACACCGCTGCCCTGCTTCCTGCCTTTTTTTTTTTTTTACTTTTTACTTGGTTGGACTTATGAACAAAACAGACTTATGAACAGCCTCTTGGAATGTAGCCTGTTCATGAGTAGGGGACTGTCTGTACCATGGTATACAATCTATAATAGCTAAGTTCACATATCATTGTAAATCAAACTGCAGAATGTGTTGCCACTCAGCCATACATGTAGTCCTCGCTATCCAACCACAATAGGGACTGGAATTTAGGTTGCTAAACAATTTGGTCGTTAAGTGAATCAGAGCTGATTTTATGACCTTTTCTACAACAGTCGTGAAATGATTCACAGTGGTCATTAAGTGAATCATGTGGTTAAGCAAATCACATGGTCATTAAGCAAATCCAGCTTCCCCAATGGACATTTTTTTGCCAAAATTCACTTAACCACATGATTTGTTTAATGACCATGCAATTCCCTTAACAACCATCATAAAAAAGGTCACAAATCATGATTATGTGACCACAGGGGTCATAAAGCACTCTTCCCAAGGCAGTGGTAACTCTGGGCCATCGTTAAACAGTCATTAAGCGAGGATTACCTGTAATCTCAATAATAAAATGCAAAAATGGTTGTAACAATGTGTATCAAACCTTTATGATTAATACAATGTTGCATTAATTTCAAGTATTGTAAGATTTTTAAGATTCACTGAAGAATTTTGCATTAAAAATGGGTATCAGGAGCAATAAACAATGCAAAATGTAAAACATGATATACTATCTTTAATACCTATTTGTTTACAAATTTAAAGACTGACTCCCTTGAGTTTAACTTGGCTTATAGTGTCTACATGGAAATGTTAATGCCATTTTCTTGGCAATAATGTGAAACTGATTTGCCACTATCTATCTTCTGGGATATTTTTTAACTTTCTAGTTTAACCTACAGCCCTGGGATTTCCTTATGGTCTCCCATCAACCACCAAAACAGATTTTACTTAGTTTTTGTCAAAATTATCAATGATGTGCCAATCTACCAATGTTAATTTGTCAAACATCATTTATGGCAAAATGAGTGAAACCAAATGCTGTGTTAGCATTTTAGCAACCTGTGATTCCCAGCCTCTATCAATATTCTCAGAAAATTTCTTGCCCACATTCTTGCCGTGAGTGGTAAGTTAGGAAACCACAGTATTTCCTATATAGTACAGTATTGCAATGGCAGACAACAGTAAAATAAACTTACTTTTACCAAAGAAAGCTTCTTCAGTGAAGGTATACACAAAGTAAAAATTATTTTTAATCTGTGATGAGTTTACCAACTAATTGCCTTGTCCCAAACCGAGCCACAGAAAGATACCATTTGGTTCCTCAGCTACTAATCTAATATACTGAGACAACACCAAGTATGGGCCTTACCAGTAATACCCTTCAACCTCTCTCAATTATTCACACAATGACCCGGGTCACACATCACACTAAGCTATTATTTGCTTAACTCAGTTTGTTGAATAAACCATCATTTATGAACTTGCATATTACACTAAACTATATTTACAAACCAAAATAGCTGAATTCAGATATTACACTAAGCAACAAACAAATAAAGCAAATTGCATCTTAGTGCAATGTGAGAACCTAGTGAAAGCACTCCTCTGGAATAGATTACGGTACCAGGCAAGAAACTGTGAGCTCCAGTCTCCACTAAAGTACTAATCAGTCACAACCCTACTTAATTTCTGTTCTGAGATAAGGTCAGCTAAGTACTGCCACCTGCTGAGAATACAGGATGTTAATGCCAATGAATTAAAGGTATCTCCTTCCAGTTTCATACTGCGATATGATTTTACAATAATCCCTCTTTTTGAAATATCTTTATGCTAACTGAATTAATGGACATAAGCTACATTTTTGTTCATCCATGGTAAGTTGTGTTGTTTTCCAATTCAACGGAATAAAATATACTCAATATACTGGTACCATTAGGGTTTTTACACTAGTTCATTTTTTAATGAGTTATCCTACACATTCGTCTGCGCTGAGAAATGAATCTCATGTATTACAGCACTGCTATAGCACTTTCTCATTGGTCAATACTATCCTCATTTAGAATACTAAGGTAAAAAAATAAAACAATTGTTTTTGGGGGGAAAAACCCAGAAGCTTATGTTGAATGTTTCTTTGCAGTCATTATCCAGAAAGGAAGATAGGATACTTTTTCAATTTTTTTATAAATTATGAAACGTTGGACTTACTCTTGTAACCTATATTGGCAACAATTGTTCAATCATGAAAATAAAACAGATGGGCTCACTCAATACATTAGCCCTCTTACGAGCCTTATGAAAGGCCTACAGGGTCAGGGCCATGCAAATCTTGAGGGGCAAGTTGTTCCACAAGGCAGTGTACAACAGCACAAGCACACTTCCTGGGTCCTATCAGATGACCCCACTGTCCTGCAGGTCCAATGACTTTTAATCAGTCCTTAAGTTGGGAAGCGGACAACTCGCCGTAATGCGCTCTCTTTCCCCGACCCCGTATCCTTCTCCTGCACGCCCGCCTAACTCCTCACTCCTTCCACTTTTAAACAGCCTCCTAGAAACCCCGCGCTCTTCTTTCACCAAGGCTCGGCACCTGTCCCGCCATCGGCCAGCCTAAGAGGCTATAAGGATGCAAGATGTACTCACGGTAAGGCTGTCCCCAGCTCTCTCGGAGGACGACTGAGGCCTCACGCCGATCCCGTCGCCTCCATTTTAGCCTGGGAGGGGAAAGAAAGCAGGCCTCTCTTTCGCCAGCGAGTCAACATGGAGACCCACGTCCTTCCGCCCAGACCATAGAGAGCGGAGGCTCCGCCAAGGGCTGGCTGGGGAATTCTGGGAGTTGAAGTCCACACAACCACAAGTCGCCAAGTTTGAGAAACTTTTTTTTTTTTTTGAGAAACGCTAGCTTTCCGGGTTCAGTCGTTTTTAAAAAATATCTTTCTCTGCTGAGCTGAGAATGGAGAAGTACAGCCTTGAATAGAGCACTCCGAAGTTTTGTTTCCTTCCGCCATAATAAACAACCTGCGCAGTTTTGTGTGTGTGTGTGAAATAAAATCTCTAACCTTGTCCCTGTATTGATCTCTTTGACTACCACTACCGTCCCTGGAGCTGGGGTGCTTTTTGGACCCAAATCTCTTAATCAGCTGAAATGTTTTCTTCCGGCCAAGGTGGCTGGGTGGAAGACAGACCCACAGCAAGGGGTTGTCGTGTGTATCTGTGTGTGTGTGTAGGGCTAATCAGCACTAATGACGCTACCGACAGATCATATTATAGTAGTCCACCCTGCATTGGCCGAAGGGTAAATGGCTACCGATCTCTTTCCTAAGCGTACAGATTGTCGGTAACTTTTTCAAGCTTTGGAGAGCGGTGAATATGCACATTGGCATCTGACCAAAGGGGATTTTTCCCCCCTAAGCTGATTCTTTCTGCTCTTTTTGCAACCTTCTCATGCAAATCCCTTCGTTTCTCACCAGCAATGTGTGCGTGAGTAACTCAGGGGTAATATAACATTTATATTCAATACAAATTAAATACATTTATTTAT